ATAAACAGAAAAAGCCGGAAGTGGCGCTGTGGCTCAAGTGATAGAGCACTAGCCTTGAGCTGAAGAGCTGAGGGACAGCGCCCAGACTCAGAGTTCAGACCCCATGACCGGCAAAAAAAAAAAAAAAAATTTAAATGTTGGGTGGGGAATGTGGTTTATGCATGCATGAAGTTCGATCTTCAGTACCACATAAAAAGCTGGAAGTGGTGCTGTGGCTCAAGTGGTAGAGTGCTATGCTAGCCTTGGCAAAAGAAGGTCAGGGACAGAGTCTAGGCCCTGAGTTCAAGCCCCTGAACTGGCAAAAATAAAAATTATATGTTATTTGACTTAAGTAAAAAAAAATTAAGATATACTTGCAATGACTTTCTATTTCTGAACTCTCATATTTGGCAAATGTTGTTTTATGAAAGTTACAGTATTTTTTTCCTTTCAAATACTGATTTTAGTTTCAAGCATAGAATCTTTGTTGAATAATACAGAGATAATAGTACTTAAGATAGGCATTAACATTATTCACATTGTGACATAGAATTTGGTTAAATGAAATATTTATTAAAAGTATGTCCAAAGCACTGAGAATTAAAACACCATATGTAGGAAGTATGGAGTAATGAAAAATCAAATAATTTAATGATCTGACAGGAGACTTGATTTTGAACCTTGGTTTTACTACTAACACTCTTTTTTTTTTTGGGTCCGGTCATGGGGCCTGAACTCTGGGCCTGGGCGCTGTCCCTCAGCTCTTCAGCTCAAGGCTAGTGCTCTACCACTTGAACCACAGTGCTACTTCTGGCTTTTTTCTTTTTGCTTATGTGGTGCTGAGGAATCAAACCCAGGGCCTCATGCATGCAAGGCAAGCGCTCTACCACTGAGCCAACTTCCCAGCCCTACTAACACTCTTAAGATATTGGACAAAGTCTGTTCTTTGCTTTGTTCCTTCCATTCAGCAAGTACTTTTTGAGTACATACTGTATTCCAAGCCCTAAGCCACATGTTCTAGATAACTAATGGAGGACAAAAGTCTTAATGATTTCTACTATCTGAAGCATTTGATTTTTCCTAATGGAGGAAACATATTAAATAACCACACAATTAAATTCAGATTGTCTTAAATAGTGAAAAGAACAAGAACTATAAGTTAATAACCAATAAGACATAGTTTATACATGAGCCAGATTCATTTAAACAAACAAAAGAATAGGAGGATTTACCCAAGCAAAGAGAACTGCATGTACAAAGGTCCCAAAGCCATTATTTCCTTAAAAGAAACTAAAAAGAAGGCCAATATGGCTGGAATGTGGTAAGCATGAGGGACAAAGGAAGATAGGAGGACCAGGTAAGCAGGTCCTGACTGGTCACACTGAATTAGTGTAGTTTTTATTCTAAGCATGGTAGGAATCCATTAAAAAGTTCAAGCAACAGTGAGAAATGATAGGATTTACCTATTAAAAAGGTCACCCTGAGCCAGGTGCCTGTGACTTACACCTGTAATCCTAGCTACTCAGGAGGCTGAGATCTGAGGATCACGGTTCAAAGCCAGCCCAGGCAGGAAAGTCCATGAGACTCTTATCTCCA